GTGTCAGATCTAACAGCAGGTCACAGCAGGGGCTGGGTGAAATGTGGAGATCTTGGTCCCTCCACACCCTAATGAATCTGAGCCGTTAACTCACACCTCCTCTGCACAAGAGCCTTTGAGCCAACGCATCCTGCACCAAGCCCCTGCCTGCTCGGAGCGGGCGTTCACAGCCCCTGGCACTCCCCACATGGGCAGGGGGGCGAATCCCAACCCTTGCCGAACCTCTTCCCTCTCCAAATTCTCGTGCTGGCTGCTTTCTTCCGCCCCAGAGATGTTTGCGTTATCTCCTGTGCTGTGCGCACGTAGTCTCTAAACCCTTTGAAGACTGGAACAAAAAAAAAATTTTTCTCTGTTGTTTGTGTTGGATGAAAACTGGGATGCTGCCAGCTCTGTGTTGAGTCTGGGGGGGCCGGGTGGGAGGGATGGGAGCAGCCGGGCAGGCTGGGAGGTCTCGGCTGACGGCTGCTGCTCTTCCCCTGCCAGCCCAAGATTGTGGAGGCCCTGCTGGGCTACGAGATGGTGCAGGTGGCCTGTGGTGCGTCTCACGTCCTGGCGGTTTCCAACGAACGGGAAGTGTTTGCCTGGGGCAGAGGGGATAATGGTAAGAGATGCCTGTTTGGCAAAACAGGGCTTGTGCTTTCCATTGCCTGTTCCTGCTCCCCTTGCTGGCCTTGCTTGTCCACAATCCCCTCCAGATGTGCCAGGGTAGGTGGGTGTGGAAGAGCTGCAGCTGTTTCACCACATACCAGGGCCCCCATGCTTTGGGTTTTGCTGCTTTCTGGGTGCCAGGCTGGGCTCTTACAGCAGCTGAGCTGTGTCAATGCTGTTCTTTGTGGGGCCATGCTGAGTTTGTAGTTCCATCAGCTGTTCCCTGCTCTGTTCCTCCTGCCAGGTCGGCTTGGGCTGGGTACGCTGGAGTGCCACAACTCCCCCCAGCAGGTCACAGTCCCACCAGAGCATGAGGCTCAGAGGGTCATCTGTGGCATCGATTCCTCCATGGTCCTCACAGTGAAGAACCAGATTCTTGCTTGTGGGAGCAACAGGTAAGAGGGGTGAGGGTCTGTGCTCCACATTTCACCTTCCTGGGCCTGTCCATCTGTCCTGCCTGGGAAGAGGGAGCAAGGGGCTCCAGAAGATGCTCCTGTGTGATCTTGCCCCCAGCATCGTGCTGCTGGTGGTATGGTTATGCCAGGGCAGGGTTTGTATCCAGGGTGTCTGTGCCAGGCTGCAGTCAGCCAGCTCTGAACTGAGCTTTTCCTTGTGCAGGTGTAACAAGCTGGGCCTAGACCGGATCAGCTCGGCAGAGGAGCCTTCCCCAGAGGACCAGGTGGAGGAGGCCACAGTGTTCATGTGCGCCCAGTCAGCCCCCTTGAACCAAGAGCCCATTGTGTGTGCTGACATCGGTACAGCACATTCGGCTGCAGTCACAGGTGAGGGTGTGTGCCCAGATCCCTGAGAGGGGGGAGGACACCTGCATTTTCCCTGTCTTCCTCCTGCCTCTGCTTCCATGGGCAGAGGCCTCATGGAGGCTCAAGAGACACCCAGTGCTGGAGCTCTGTGGAGCAGGATGCTCAGCATAGGAGACAGCAAAGAGAGAGCTTCAGTGCATCCCTGAGTGACACCCAGTTGTGTCTCTCCTCTCTGTTGTAGCCTCTGGCCACTGTTACACCTTTGGGAGCAACCAGCACGGGCAGCTGGGCACCAAATCCTGCCGCAACAGCCGCGTGCCCCACCTGGTTGTGGGGCTCCAGGCGATGAAGGTCACCGTGGTGGCTTGTGGGGATGCCTTCACTGTGGCCATCGGAGCAGGTGAGGCTGAAGCCTCTGTGTCCTGGGCTGCAGCAGGCCCTGGCTGTCCTCTGCCTGCAGTCCATGCTGTGGCCAAGGCAGGTGTGCAGCAAGGTGTATCTGTCTCTCTGCAGATGGTGAGGTGTGCACATGGGGGAAAGGAGCCAGAGGACGCCTGGGCAGGAAGGACGAGGAAACAGGAGTGCCGAGGCCGGTGCAGCTGGAGGAGACGCATCCATACCTGGTGACCTCCGTAGCCTGCTGCCACGGGAACACACTGCTGGCAGTAAAGCGTGAGTAAAGGCTTTGTTCCTGTGATTCCTGCCATGAGGGCCCAGCCAGACACAATGCTTTGTGATCGGAGATGTACCGAGTAACCCTGGCACATAAGCTCTGTGTTATTCTAGTCCCTCTCGAACTGCAGATGAATAGAAATAACTTCAAGCCCTTAAAAATACCCTTTCTGCTCTGCATCTCTGTGATGCTGCCACTCCCACTGGGCCAAGGGAGTAAAGGGATGGCAGAGGCTGTCTGGTGCACTCCCAGACAGGTGGGCTGGCCAAGCTGCAGCCGGTGGGGAGCTGGCGTGCCAGCGGTCCACCGAGTATCCAAAAAGAGCAGCTCTCTAATTGATGCTGCTGAAATAGAAGCTGAGATTTGAGGCGTCATTTTGGCTGCTGCCTTTCCATTGTGGTTTGGAAAAGATAGCAATGGTTTTGTGGTTCCTCTCTGCTTGGGCCAAAGGCAGCATCTTTGCGTGGTTAAAACGTGCCCGTGGCATGACCTGCCCTTCCGTTGCCTGGATGTACAATGGGAGCCTGGCCCAGACTGCTGGAGGGACCTTTCTTCCTCCTCTGCTGGGTTGATTATGGCCTCAGCCTGGGCTGAGGGATTCCAGTCCCAGCCCACTTCAAGGAGGCTAATTACAGCCCTGAGGGGAGGAGGCCCAGCTGACTGCCCCGGCACAGCGGAATCGGCCCTGGCTCCCATTCCTCCCCTGCAAGTGCCGAGCTCTCATGTGATGTGCTCTGCCACGTGAAGGGGAGAGGGAATGGCTGAGTCCCCAGGCTCAGGAACAAGTAGGGCATTTGTCATGGGAGTAAAAGGGTTTTGTCTCCGCAGGAAGGCTGCAGGCTGCTCTCCCCTTCCGCTGCCAGAGTCACCCCATGCTCCGTGGCAGCTGGTTTGTGGGCTCCCACCTGCAGCACTGTAAGAGCAGGGACTTAGTGTCTAGCCCCAGTGCTGTCCCTCTGTCCAAAACCTCGTCCCTCCTGTCCCAGTACTGGAAGTGCAAACTCAGCGGTGTGAGGGCAGCAGCCTCGCCTGCCCCAGCATCCCTCAGCAACCAGCGTGCAAAAAGCAGCAAGAGCTCTGTAAAGAGCTGAGATCTGACTTTGGGCTTTCACACAGCTCAGTCTGCCTGGAAATTTCTCTAGAGAGAACACGAGATCCGTTGACACATGTGATGTCATTGCTGCTGTCAGCTCTGGCTGTGATGTGGCCCGGAGAGGGTGCTGGCACAGGCGAGCCGCGCTCCACCTTTGGGGCGGCTGTTCTGCACCACTCGGAGGTTCCTCCCATGGGGCCGACACCGTTTTTGACTGGCTTGGGCTGCTGCCCACTTTATCATGAGCCACTGCTGCGCCCTTCTCTCAATCCCACTGCAAACACAGAATAACTGGGAGAAGCCAAGCGTGCTGGAGAGGAGGGCACAAGCCTCAAAAGACTGTGTTTCCTCCTGCTTGGGCTCTGTGTACTGGGTGTTGCCTCACTTGTGCCACTACTGAGGCCTTGCAGTGGCTTCCTGGGATAGTGGGACAGGGATTGCAGTGTCCATCTGTTGTTGGGTATCAGGCCTGTGTGGGGTAGGACACTGCTCCCTGTAGCTTCATTGAGGTGGGGCTCACAGCTAAATCTTGGTCTTTGCCCTTTGTGTTTCAGCTGCTGTGGAGGAGTCGCCTCCCCAGTGAGTGTGAGTTGAGAGGGGCCACATCCAGCCTCATCGTACACATGCTGGGGCTCCCACAGCCACTGGCATGGCCTGGCCTCTTCCTGCTGCCTGCCTCGGACACGCTCCAGGCTCCAGAGCTCCCCAGCTGCACTCCAAAGGCAGCAATCTGGAAACAGGGAGCTCCTAACGATGGTTCCCACGGAACCAGAGCTGATCTCACTTATCGAATCAACGAGGGTCACTGTGAACCTCCAGTGCCTGAGAGCTGCTGCCCTGCATGTGCCATGGGGTGGATGTCCCCAGAGCTCCAGTGCTGCCTTCAGAGGGTCACAGCACAACTCTTCCCCTCCCTGCTGGAAGTGCCTGTGTAGAAGGGTGAGGAGCACAGAGGTTGTTTTCCTCCGTGGAAGCAGTCTCTGGTTACAAAGCCCAGGCTGACAGCTCCGTGTCTGGGAGAGCTGTCAGCCTTTGCACAGCAGTGTCTGGAGTCAGGGCCCCAGGCGCTGTGCTGGGTGACTAAATGCAAACCTCTTTGCTAATTAGAGAAGTCTGTCCTTTCCCATCCCCCCTTAAAACGTTTCACCCATTTGTTGAGCTGCTCAGCACACTCTCGGGGGTCCTGCCTGCTCAGCTGGCCGAGCCCGGTGTGAGCAGCCTCTCTGTGTGGCACAGCCCTGCTCGCTCTCCCCAAATGCCACTTGGAGCTTTCCACTTACAGCCTCCCCTGCCCCAGGAGCTCGCTGGAGGATTCTTCAGCTGACATTTGTCCTCAGGCCCCTCAGTCCTGGTGCTGACCAGCTCGCTGACTCCCAGCTGAGGAGCAAAACACAGCGAGTGATTGTCAGTACTTGAAGTTTTTTAACCCAGATCTTTCCAGGGAGATGATGAGTTTTCACCAGGGGTCCTTTCTGCGGGCAGGAGGGGCACATCCGTGTGTCATGGACAGGAGTCACATTTTTTATCTCCAGAAGGGTCGTTTCCTTTCCATTTTTTTTCCCTCCTTTCTTTTTTCAACTTAACGTCTGCCCTGGGCCATTTTTTGATGAGCTTCTGTCTCTGATCTGTCTGACATTGCAAATGCTCTTGCCTTTCACATCCATCTTTGTGCTGTTGCCAATCTGTTGTGTATAAAGTCGGTGCTTTCATAAGCTGGCTGAGATGAAATCTCTCTAATTATTTTTTGTGATTCTTTCCTGTTTTCAATGAGGGAAACCTCACTGGGCTCTGGTAAAAGCCAACCGATCCCTCTGTCATGTGAAAGGTAATGAATTTCTGCAGGTCTCCTGCTCTTTCTTCCCTCGCCTTCCAGGCTCCAGCTGGGGAAGGGAGCAGGTCCTGTGCGGCCGGGAGAGGCGTGTGCAGCCCTGGCTGCAGACACAGCCTCCCTGTTTGGCTCCTGGCAGGGTGGGTGCATGGGTTTTTCCCTGCCGTTTTTGTTTCTTGTGGAGCTGCCTTTTCAGGCGGTTACACCCTGCTATCCCAGGAAGCTGACTGGAATTCAAAGGCTCTGCCAGTCCTTTGGCACTTTCTTTGTGCTGCAGGTTACAGGGACGGCTCCTGCAGCCTGGTGTCGACAGAGGGAAAGGTGTTCTCCCCTCCCAGACCAACCTGGGCACTGAGGTAATTACAGGGCTGGGTTAAATTGCCTCAAAGCCCCTCTGGGCCACTGCCTCTCCTCCCTGCATTGAGCTGGCAGCAGCACCAGCTCCTACAGCAACAGATTTCTTTTGGCTGTGTTTAGCTGGGCTCTCACAGCTCCCCTCGCCCCACACCACATCCAAACACATCCCATAGGAAGGGACTGGTGCTCCTGCTACAGCCTCGACAGGGCTGAGGGCTTGCTGGGACAGCAGCAGGCAGGACAGAGGTCTGATATCCTTTGTCTTGTCAGCGATGCCACCAAAATGTCACTGTTTCAGGAGCCAGGCTCTTCCTGCTCCAGCTGGGCTGCCAAATCCAGGGGTGCAGCCCCCCTGTTCCCATCGATGTGCTGGTGTTAGGTGGGTTGTTTTATGGCTTAATGACACCTTTGCACTGCAGTGCTGGGGCTGGAGGTGTCACCAGCTCAAATATCGGGACCCTTTACTCCAGGCAGGGGAAAACAGTGTGGACCAGTGTGCTTTGTGCCGGGCCGGGGGATTTCACAGCCTGCGCTCCTTGCAGGAGTTCAGCTGTGAAGCCCAGCGAGATGATTTGAATAATTTAATACCGGGCTGTGACCAAGCCTGGCGAAAGGGTAAAGGAAACAAAGAGGCCCCCAGCCCCGAGCAACAAAAGCTCCTGAAACTACAAGCCGAGGCATGTCCACACTGCCGGAGGCAGAGAGCAGCCTGGGCAAATAGGCCAGTTGCATTCCTCACGTCTGCTGCTTTGTTTCCCTGCAGAAGCTCCTGGTGAAATCTGCAGGTCTCAGGGCTTCTCCCTTTATCCTTGTTTTGTTCCCGTGTTCTGTGGAGCTGGTGGTGGATCAGCCGTGTCCCTGTGGCTCTTCCTGCTAAGGAAGGCAGAGCCAGAGGGGAGTGAGAAGGGGAGGTGTGGGATGAGGCTGCCTGTCCCCTTTTGTGCATCTTGGTGTGGGTCCCCTCTGGCCATTGTCACCCAGGGAAAAGCTGTCCCCGTTCCCAGTAAGATCCTGCTGACCTGGAGCTGTTGCTGTCATCAGGAAACAGCCCAAACCGCCTGCTGATCCCAGAGCTGATTTGTTTTGATTCCAGCACCTCTGTCGAGGTCGTATCCTCATTCCCACGAGGCTTGGCAGAATTGGCAGAAGGTGCAGCTGCCATCCGTCTGTCCAGCCGCCTCACTCCCTTTCCCCCACCCTCCCTGGGCACGAGGCCCCAGAAGCAGGGAGAGGACTCTCCCCACTCCTTTCCCTGGGGCAAAACGCTCCACCTTAACTTCTTTAGAAGCCAGAGCAGTCAGTTTTCTGTCCCTCCAGTTTAAGTTAAATACAAGGAGGAGGGATGGAGCAGGAGTGCAGACCAGGGAGAGGCTGGGGAAGAGGACAAGAGGCCTCTCCAAGCCCAGATGGGTTCAAGGAGTGACCCATCATAGGGGACAGGGAACATATCGCCTCCACAAAGGGAATTGCCCCAAGTGTCACCTTTGTGTGAGACAAATGCCTGGCTGTGATGCTGAGTGCGGGGAGGGCTTTCCTTAGGGAGAGGGGAAAAGGAGGGATCTTTGTTTGCAGGGTCTGACACCTCCCAGCCGCCCTGCCGGCACAGCCAGCACCTTCTGATGGCTTTGTCAGCTCCTGGCTAATTAGCAGAGATGCTCTTCAGTGAGGTTAGGGAAGAATAATTTTAAAAACATCAAAGAGAAGCAGTAAATAATGATAAAAGTCGGCTGTTTCATGCCTGGCATTGGAGGCACAGGCTGTCTAAGCTTACAAGACTGATGTGTCCTGTCTTTGGTGGTGGAAACACCAGGAGTCCCATCACCCCCCGGGATGCCAAGGGCCTTGTCCTTTTGGCCTGAACCTTGTCTCATAACTGTGTCCAGGGACAGTTTTTAGTCAGGGCCAGGTCGTAGTATGTCAGGGACAGTGTCTGGGATAGTGCCTATCTCTTGTTGGAGGCAGCCTGGCTCCAGGGCATGCTGGCACATAGTGGCAGAACCAGCTGGACCATGTGGCTGTTGGTAGATCCTGCCCTTGGGGAGTCACAGCCCTGAGCAAACCTGGCTGGGGAGCACCTCAAACCCAGCTCGAGGTACCTGCTGCACCCCACTGCTCCCTGTACAGTTGCCCACTGTCACTTGTTTTTACATGTTGGGTTTCCAGGCTCGCTGGGAGCTGGTTAAAGTTTAGCTCAGTGCTCTCCACCATCCAAGCAGGCTGCCAGCTACTTACCTCCCTCAGAAAATCCCCTGCCACGACTGTTCATGTTCAGTGTACACCAGCACAAGCTTCCCTGATATTTGGGAGCTAAAACCCCGTTGCAGCTCAGGCTGTGGCAGGACAACCTGCCACCCCTCAGGGTAACCACAGAAATCAGCCCCCCATCCCCTCCTTGGCAGCTCTGGCAGCAAGCAGGCGGGCTGCCTGCTTCCCCTCGGGCTGCTGGAGGGTTTTATTTTAAGCAGAGCCTCTCAGGGAGAAGGGTAACGTGAGCTCCTTGAGTGACAAGTGATAGAGCTCGAGTTGCTCAGTGTGTCCCCCAGGAATCCCTCTCCTCTGCCATTTGCTAATTGAAAACTGCTAACATTTGGGTCTGGAGCAACTGCTGCCCTTAATGGGAAGCTGGCTGGAGTGAGCGTTGGTGGGACTAACACATGCTCACAGCCTGTCATCTGCTCAGCTCCATCTCTGGGGAAAGGGGCAAATACTCCCATATGCTGCTCTGATTTCTGAAAGAGTGATGAGGGGGCTAGAGCTAGACAGATTTGCTTTTATTCTCCCTCCTCCAGGCTCTTGCTCCGTTACAAACTGTGGCTGGAGGGTTGCTGATGGCTGCAGCCTGGGGCATGAGCTCCCAGCAAGACAAAGCCACAGGAGCTTGTTGTGTCCCCCCATGCCTGTAGAGTGGGGGGCTCAGGGCAGCCCCTCCATGTCCTGCTGTGGGTGATGGCTGGACACAAGTAGCTCTCTGTGGGAGGAGTGTGTCTGGGAGCTGTATCTCACCTCCAGCCTTGCTCAGGGGCACAACTGTGGCCCCGGGCTGCCTGCAGGAGTGTGAAGCCCCTGGGGCACCCCCGAGTAAAGAAAGAGACACAGGGGTAGTGAGGACAGCACAGTGTGTGCTCCAGGAGCCCAGCTCTGGGCCAGGGGAGGCTACAGTGTTGGGGGGGGCTCTGCAGATTGTGCACAAGCCCCCAGGGTGGCCGTGTGCGATGTGATGTTGATGCTCCCCAACTTCCTGGGGTGGCTGTCCCCAGTGCAGTGGGTCACAGGCCCTTGAGATGACTGTTCCCAGCGTGGTGGGTACCAACTCCCCCGGGGGGGCTGTGCCCGGTGGGGTGCTCCCCAAGCCCCCAGGGTGGCTGTCCCCAGCGTGATGGTCCCCAAGCCCCTTGGAGGGGCTGCCCCCGATGTGACGCTCCCCCAGTCCTTGTCTGTCCCCGGTGTGATGCTCCCCGAGCCCCCGGGGTGCCAGGACCGCTCCGCTCCCCCCCGTTGCGGCGGGGAGGCGGGGCGCGGGCAGGAGGCGGGCGCGGTGCCGTCCCCCGGCCCGGGGCGCAGGGGCGGGCTCAGGCCGATCCCACCGCCCCGTCCGGCCCCGTCCGGCCCCCGGGCGGAGCCGGGCGCGGAGCGCGGAGCCGAGCGGGCGCGGGGCGGCGGCGGGCGCGGGGCGGCGGGATGCCGGGCTACGACTACAAGCTGCTGGAGCGGCCGCGGCGGCGGGTGCTGTGCCCGCTCTGCGGGAAGCCCATGCGGGAGCCCGTCCGCGTCTCCACGTGCGGCCACCGCTTCTGCGACACCTGCCTGCAGGAGTTCCTCAGGTGAGACCCCGCAGCACGTCACGGACGACCCGACCTGACGTCGCGCCGCGCACCCCTTCCCACCGCGGGGCACCCCGGCCGCCCATCCCCGCACCGCCGGATGCGGGGTCCCGCACCCCGGGGGGGACGGGTGCTTCCCCCCCCCCCTCATTCGCCGCCGGCCCCAGGGGTGCGGTACCCGCGGGTGCGGGGTGCTCCAAAGAGGGGTGCGGGGGGCCCCGGGCGGGGCCGGAGTGAGGGGAGCACGGGGGTGCGGATGTCCCGGGCCTGGGAGGGGATGCGAGTGCCCCGGGGAGGGATGTCCCGGGCCGGGGAGCGGCTGCGGCGTGCCCTGGAAAAAGGTGCGGGGTGCTCGGGGGTGCGCGGTGCCCCGAGAAAGGTGCGGGGCGCCCCAAGATGCCCCGGGCCGGGGAAAGGCGCGGGTTGCGTGGTGGTGCCCCGGGCCAGGGAGGGGGTGCGGGGCGCGCCCAGGCTGTGACAGCCGCCTGCGGGGTGCAGCGGCCCGTGGCCCCTTTCGGTGAGGAGGAGGAGGAGGAAGAAGAGGGCCCGGTAAAGCCCGGAGCGGCGAGTTTCGAGATTCGAGCTTAACCCCTTCCTGCCCTGGCCCCGCCGGAGGAAGCGACCGGTGTGTGTGTGTGTTGAGGGGTCCGGCCACCCCGGTGCCCCCGCGCCCAGGAGGGAGCCCGACCCGGCCGTGTGCGCTCGCTGGGAGCGAGGAGCCGGGGCCTCTTCCCACCCGCGCGGTTTGGGACCCCCGGTACCGGTACCGGCAGCCCGGGGGCACGTGCGAGGCCGGTGCTGCCCCGGTTCGGGGCCGCCGCACTCACTGCGGTGCCGGGGGTCCCCCCAGGGCTCGGCGAGGGGATGCTCGTGCTCCCCCAGGCCCATAACCAGCGTCACTCTGGGCCCCGGTTTCCGCTGCCGCCTCCGGCTGCACCTTTCCCCGCCGGGGCGACCTTCGCCCGGGACGGTCCCCGGGAGCCACAGACACCGTGGCCAGTTTCTACGAAACCGGGCGTTCCCCGGGGCACGTGTCAGAACGCATCTGCTCCCTGCCCCCCCTCCGCACCCCTTCCGCCGGCACCTCCGTTCTACCGGGACAGCCAGACACAGGGGCCCCTCACCGAGCACACCCCGTTTTCACCGGATCAGGTTTGGGCATCTCTTGGACTGAGCCGTCCAGCCCCACCGCGGTGCCGGGAGGGGGGTGCTGGGTGGTGCCGGGGTTCCCCACCCTGTCACCTCGCTGTGCCCCAACACGCCGTGAAGGTCAGAGGCAAGGACGGTCCTCCTGGGTGCTGCCTCAGCACATTCCCTGCCCGGCCAAGCATGAGGAATGGGGAGGCTTTGTCGGGGATTAGGCGCTGGCTTCGGGTCATTGTCCCGCTTCCCCCCCCAGCCACAGCACCCCAACACCATGCACAGGGTGCAGACACGGCTGACTGCCCTGGAAAGGTGTGATGCCAGCTCCAAGGCAATGCCAGCCGCTGGGCAATGCCACCCACAGGCTCCCTGGAAAGGGATGGGTGCCCGACCCTGTCCTAGGGCACCTTATCTTGGTAGATGCCTGATGACTCCCACGGAACCACCTGCAGTAAACAGAGCAAACACGTGGCATGGCTGAATGCAGCCGTGCCCTGCATGAATCACACTCCGCGGCACTGAGCTGGGGCTCCTGGGGGTCACTTGCACCCCCAGCACAGGGCTGGTGGCCGCAGGGGACATGACAGTGCCATGCCCAGGCCATCCCAGGCCAGCGCGTGCCAGGCAGCACAGCTGGCTCCATCCTGAGGTCTCGCATCCACTTGGCAGCCCCGGTCGAGGCCACGCCAACGCCTGCCAAGGGCACTCGGTCATTAGACGGGCAGGAGCTGTGCAGGCAATGCAACCTCATCCAGGGACACGAGAGCCACAGGGTCCCTGTTTGTCCCTGCTGCGTGTCCCTGTAGGCAGCACCTGTGGTCTCTCACCCCAGTGTCCATCAGGGATGGCACGTGGACACCCTCACCTGTTCCCAGGCATGGTGGTGTGGGGACCAGAGGTGATGGTGGCTCCTGGTGAGCGGTGTCACAGTCTGGGCTGCCTGTTCGGCTCCATCCCCATCTCCACCTCACACTGCCACTCCGCAGCTCAGGGCTGAGCAGGGCCCTTCCCAGCTGAGGGACAGCCTTCTGGAGGAGCACCCCATCCTGGGGGCCCAGCCTGATGGGGACCCCTCCGGGGTGGCTGCCTGTCCCTGTCCTGGCTCACCACGATGGCTGATGGGGCCGTTTCCTGTGGAGCGGGAGCCCCAGGGCCACACATCCGGGCTGCACATCTGGTGCCCAGCTGTTGCCCTCCCCCACCTCCCCTGGGCCCCAGCACCTGGGGCTGCGGGAGCCCCGTCCCCTGCCGGCCCCATCCTGGCCAGCCGCCGGCACCCTCCTTAATCCCAGGGGCCGGGGCAGGCGAGGGGCTGCCGGGGCTCCAGATGGTGCCACGCTGCTCGCGGCGGCTGGCCCAGGCCCCTGGGGACGGGGGCCGCCGTGCCCAGCCGGGGAGGCGGGGGTTGCCTTGGGGGGTGTCTGGCCGTAGCATTTCCCAGCTCAGACAGATGGAGCGGGATTAGAGCTGCAGCTCCCCCAGGGTCGCGGCTGGATTTGGTACGGGGTGAGCGCTCAGCGGTGGAGGGACAGCGCCAATGTCCTGGGATGGGATGGCAGGGACCCGATGGGATATCGTGTCTGTGTCACTGGTGCTGTTCCCCATCCCTGAGTGATCCTGACCCCTCTGTGTCTTGCAGCGAAGGTGTCTTCAAGTGCCCGGAGGACCAGCTGCCCCTGGACTACGCCAAGGTGAGCCTGGCACATGGATGGGTACCTCCCTCCAAGGTGACATCCCCGCCAAGGCGCCGTCCCAAGGCTCTACACAGCGCCTGGCACAGCCACGCCGGGCTGGCACAGGCACTCAGGCGGAAGCAAGAGCCCTTTGTGCTGCGGGGCCGGGGAGCGGAAACCCGCTCCCGACAAAGGGTGCTTGTTGCTGTGCCAGTGGGGGATCCGGCCCCGGGCTGAGTGCCCACGGCTCCCAGCCAGGCTGTGCTGGGGGTCTGTACGCCCATAGCCTGGTGCAGGAGGCTCAAGTCCCTGTGTTGCCCCCCCAGATCTACCCCGACCCAGAGCTGGAGGCGCAGGTGCTGAGCCTGGCCATCCGCTGCATCCACAGCGAGGAGGGCTGTCGCTGGAGCGGGCTCATCAAGCACCTCCAGGTAGGGGCTGGCAGGATGGGGTGAGGGTCGAGGTTCTGTCCCATGGCCCTCCTTCACCATCCCTATGCCCCGCAGGCCCATCTCAGCACCTGTGGCTTCAACGTGATCCCCTGCCCCAACCGGTGCAGCGCCAAACTGAGCCGCCGTGACCTGCCCGAGCACGTCCAGCACGGCTGCCCCAAGCGCCGGGTCAAGTGCGAGTTCTGCGCCAGTGACTTCACTGGGGAGGCCTTTGAGGTGGGCAACGGGTGGGGCACCATGCAGGGGGTGACACTATGGGAGAGACAGCCATGGGGTTGGCCTGGCAGGAACACTGTGGGAAGCACAGCCTGGCCATGGGGGACACAGCCTTGTGAGGGAAACCATGGAGGATACAACCTGGGCATGGGGACAGAGCCTGGATGGGGGGCACATCATGAGTGTAACAGCCTTGTGGGGACATGGACATGTGGGCTCCTGGTCCCTGTGCCCCTGGCCATGGGGGCACCGTATGGCCCCATCCCTGGCAGGGCTGGCTGGTGAGGGCAGACAGAGGGTGACGATGCTGTCATGGTCCCCAGGGCCACCAGGGCACGTGTCCCCAGGAGAGTGTGTACTGCGAGAACAAGTGTGGGGCCCGCATGATGCGGCGCCTGCTGTCCCAGCACGCCCTGGCCGAGTGCCCCAAGCGCACCCAGCCCTGTACCTACTGCTCCAAGGAGTTTGTCTTCGACACCATCCAGGTAAGATGGGGCTGATGGGGACCCTCACCCCACTGGCTCCCAGCCCTGGCTGACAGCCACTCTGCCTCCCCAGAACCACCAGTACCAGTGTCCCCGGTACCCTGTGCCGTGCCCCAACCAGTGTGGGACACCCAGCATCCCCCGGGAGGACGTGCCCACCCACCTCAAGGAGAGCTGCAACACTGCCATGCTGCTGTGCCCCTTCAAGGAGGCTGGCTGCAAGCACCGGGTGAGTGTGTCCCTGTGACCAACCTGCCCTGGGGGTTCATGGGGTGTCGTTCCCTACCATATTGTGCCTGTGCTCCACAACATCCCCACACCACTCCTGCCCTATCTGTCCCATCCCCTGAGCTGGTTCTCTTCTGTCCCATTCATGTGGCTCCATGACGTCCCCATCCTTGTCCTGCCTCACCTCGTGTCACTTTGCCACCCAAGTGTCCCCATGCCATCCCAACCAGGTGTCCCTGAGCCACCCCTGTGTCCCTACAAATTCCTGCTCCAGCACCCCCATCTCCATGGCACCCTTCCCTCCTGTCTCGTGCCATCTCCCAATGTCCCCGCTGACAATCCCACTGTCCCCACAGTGCCCCAAGCTGGCCATGGGTCGGCACCTGGAGGAGAGCACCAAGGCACACCTGGGCATGGTGTGTGCCCTGGTGAGCCGGCAGCGGCAGGAGATCCTGGAGCTGCGGCGCGACATGGAGGAGCTGTCAGTGAGCAGCGACGGGACCCTCATCTGGAAGATCGCCGACTACGCCCGCAAGCTGCAGGAGGCCAAAGCCCGCAGCAACTACGAGTTCTTCAGCCCCCCCTTCTACACCCACAAGTACGGCTACAAGCTCCAGGTCTCGGCTTTCCTCAACGGCAACGGGAGCGGGGAGAGCAGCCACCTCTCCGTCTACATCCGTGTGCTGCCGGGAGAGTACGACAACCTGCTGGAGTGGCCCTTCTCCTACCGCGTCACCTTCTCCCTGCTGGACCAGAGCGACCCCTCGCTCTCCAAGCCCCAGCACATCACCGAGACCTTCCATCCCGATCCCAACTGGAAAAACTTCCAGAAGCCGGGAGCCTCGCGCAGCTCCCTGGACGAGAGCACCCTGGGCTTCGGCTACCCCAAGTTCATCTCCCACGAGGACATCAGGAAACGGAACTACGTGCGGGATAATGCCATCTTCATCAAAGCCTCGGTGGAGATCCCCCAGAAGATCCTGGCCTGAGCCCTTGAGGGGGGACAGGATGTGAGTGGGGCGCCCACCCAGGGGTGCCCCAAGTGGTGCTGAGCCCCTGCCCGCAGTCAGTGCTCCCGGCTTGGGGACGCTGCTGTGGCGCAGTGGTGGCTCTCAGGATAGGCAGGGATGGGGCTGCTCCCATGTCCCTGCTGGGGCTGGGATGCTCTGGCAGCCCCAGCTGCCCCCTGGGGCAGCCCCTTCTCAGGTGCCCGGGGGTGCCGGGGGGCTGGGCCCCCCAAGCCTCTCACTGGGGCACCCAACAGCCCCTGCCAGCCTCACTGGGGACCCCGCAGGACCCCACTGCCCAGAGCCATATTTTGTAAGCTGGTGCTCCCCAGGTTGTTATTTATTTCCCTGAGCCGGGGCCGTTGCCCCCTTCCCGCCTCTTTTTTTTCTCAATAAAGTTTTCTTGTATTTATTACGGCCGCCTGAACCTCCTTCCTCTGCCTGCCAGGATCAGGATGGCAGGACCCCCATCCCCAGCCGTGGGTGCAGGGGACAGGGAGGGCAGGGTCTGGGCTGGGGGGCACAGAGGGGGGTAATCCCTGACCCACATCCCGGCAGCAGACGGGCTCAGATGGAGCCGGTTAATTCGGTAATCACCATCAGCCGGGATGTGCCGGGGGTGGGGGGGTTCGCCAGCCCCGGGGTGCTGTTTACCTGCAGAGCCCACGCCCCCTCCCAGCACCACCAGCCCCTCGTTAGCCTTGGGGCAATTAAAGCCCCTGGAAAGGCCGGGATCCCCAGAAGGGTGGGTGGGCACTGGGTGGGGCCACTAGGGTAGACCTGGGGGGGTCTGGCTGGATCATGGCCCAGGTGCATGCCTCTGAAACCCCCCAAATCACCCTGGCAACAATGGGGGGTCGCTGTCTCTGCAGGATAATCCCACAATTGCATTAGTGCAGCCCTGGCTTAACACAATTAGCCCCTAATTAGCTGCACCCCGCGGCCCTGGCTGGGCTGGGGGGGCAGCATTGACGGGTGTCCCCACACACTGTTATCCCCTCGGGAATGTCCCCTGGGCAGGTCCCAGCGCAATGTGACCCTGGGGAACTGGGCGATACTCCTGCCCATGCTGGTACCCAGTACCAGCCTGAACTGGTGCCCAGTTCTTGCCCATAGTGGTGCCCAGTATGAGCCCACACCACTGCCCAGTGCCAGCCCGTAATGATGGGTGGTTCTTATCCATACTGGTGCCCAAACTGGTGCCTATAATCAGCCTGTATTGGTGCCCAGTGCCAGCCCAAACTGATGCCCAGTGCCAACCCCTAATGATGGACAGTTCTCTCATAATGGTGCCCAAACTGGTGCCCAGTATCAGCCTGTACTGGTGTTCAGTGCCAGCCCATACTGGTGCCCAGTGCCCATACTGGTGCCAGCTCAAATTGATGGCCCATGCCAGCCTGTACTGGTGACCCATGCTAGCCTGTATTGGTGCCCAGTGCCAGACCAAACTGGTGACTATTGCCAGTCCTCCGCCAGCCCATTCTGGTGACCAGTATCAGCCCATATTGGTGTCCACTGCCAGCCCAAACTGGTGCCCAGTATCAGGCAGTACTGGTGCCCAGTACCATCCCTATATTACTGCCCAGTGCCAACCCAAACTGGTGCCCAGTGCCAGCTCGTCCCGGTGCCCAGTTCCAGCCCGTCACAGTGCCCAGCTCCAGCCCGTCTTGGTGCCCAGTATCAGCCTATACTGGTGCCCAGTTCCAGTTCATCCCAGTGCTCAGTTCCAGCCCGTCCCGGTGCCCCGTGCTCGGCTCGGTGGCTCCGCCGCGCGGTGAGTGCAGGAGCCGCTCCGGTACCGGAGGCTGCACCGCGGGGACCGAGCGATGAGCGAGGGGAAGGGAAGGGGAGGGGAGTATCGGTATGACATAGTGTTTATAGCGATTTATAGTCTTATAATGTATATTAATCATATACATTTTATTCTTATGTATATTATGCTTATATTTTATTTCATAGTTAACAGATATATTTGATATATAATACGTTTAAAATATTTTAAAATGTTAATACTTTATGTATTATATTATATAATACCATGTTAATATATTATATTAATATTATATAATAAATTACATATAACTATATAAATACAATGGCATTATAGAATATTTAAGTATTTATTATATAACTTTTATATTATATAAATATATTATATAAATATTATATTATATAAATTTTTTATTATATAAATTTTATATTATATGAATTTTATATTATACAAATTTTATATTATATAAATTTTATTTATCTAGTTACATATATTTTATGTTTATTATACATTTTATTAATATTTGATACCTATTCATAATTTTTATTATTTTTATTTTATATTTCTATTTTTATATTTTGTCTTTATTACATTCATTTTATTTATATATTTTTATTTGTGCATATATATATATACACATATCCACATGTGCACACAGACTACAGGGTCTGCCCTGTCCCTCCTGCCAGGCCACATGCAGGGTACTGGCAGCCCCTTGTGTCACACCATTTACCTTAAAATAAATAAAATAAAATCAAAATCCATGTATTATTTAGGAACTAAAAGTTCCAGCTGCCATAGGAAGCAACGGTGGAGGAAGCCTGGGCAGCAGCTCCTGGATTAGCTCAGGGAAAAGCCCAGTGCCAGGAAGCCAAGGAGGACAAAACCAAACCCAGGAGCTTGAGGCTGACCCCATCCCCACCTCATGGACCTACTTCCAACCCTCTGCTTTTTTTGGGGGGTTGATTTTTCCCTTTTCCTTCCATCTCCAGCCATAACTGTGGGATTTGCCTTTGGGTGCCGCTCTGGCAGCGCTGGCACAGGCACAGGTGGGCACTGCACTCCAGCTCCACGTACCTGGGCACGTCTGGAAATGTCAGCCGGATCTTCGAGCACCTCTTAACCTTCACGTGTTCCCAGGGAACGGGGGAGCGAATCCCCATCAAAGCCTGGGCTGCAGAGCAGGAGGAGGAGATGCTCTTAATGCTCAAGGAGGAGAGGAAGACAAATTGATTTGCTACTAAATTTAGCCTCATGTATCAAGTTTAAAATAAACTTCCTGGAAACTTGTTGGTTTGAAGGTTTATTCGGAAGGTATTTCAAAAGGTGCTCAAGCCAGAGAGGAAAACCATATTAAATACCCCAAATATCGAGGGAGACCCCACCTGGAGGGCAGGGGCTGGACTTTGGCTTGTCTAAGACCCCAGCCACAGTGGAGATGCCCTTATCTAACTAACCATCAAATCCTTTTGACACCTTTGGGATGCCAACAGGGAGGATTTTTGGCAAAACCACTTCATCTGCTCACGCCATAGAGCCTTGATTTGTGCTGATCCTTGAGGCCTCTTCACCAAGGCAGCAAAACCAGACATTGATACTGTATAGGGAGAAAAATGTGAGTCAAATTTGCTTTGAACATCCTTTATTAAAGACCGGCCCAGGCCTCCTCCCTCTCCAGCCCTTTGCCCCCCCAGGACTGAGGGGTTTGAGGGCAGCGAAGGTTTACAAGGATTTACAGCAGTTTTTAGGTGCTATTTCACTTCAATGTCAGTGCATTTCTCAGGCTTGCAGCCACCCCAGCAGAGTCAATGGGCTGTACCCAATTGCTTTGAAATTAACTGAAACTAAGCAGATAAAATACTCCAGTAATTTCATTGCAATTGGGCTCTGCTGAGCACTGAGGAGCACCTGAAAGGCGGCTCTTGCTGGAATATGTCCAACACGTGCTCCTCCAGCTCAGACCTGAGGAGCTGACAGCAACATGACCCTTTCCTTTGGCTCCTCCACTCCTGGGACCCCCCAGGACCGTACACTGAGCAGGACATTTTCCAGCTCTGATTTTTTTTTGCAGCATCCACGGCATTGTTCCTTTCTAAACAGCCTCATCACGAGATGACGGAGCTGCTGGTGCTCGCAAAGAACATCAGGGTGTTGCCCAACTTGGGTCAAAATTTTTGGAATATTTGGCCCTAAAGAAGAAGTTTTAAAAGGCTGGATCTTACTTGAAGCCTCCAGCTCAGCTGTGGCTGTAGGTGAATCCTCAGCGGAAGCAGCAGCTGCTCACACCAAGTCCCTGTTGGCTCATTGTCCACAGATTTTTGCTCCAGTCAACAGGTCCAACTGGCTGCAGAGATGATGAGAAAGTCTCCTAAAAACTCCTTGCAGAAAAGATTCTTCCTGTTAGGGGGATGGATGAAGAAACCAGATACTGAAGAAATTCCAAGTCAAAGGAGAGGAGGATCCTGAAGCTCCAATGGATGGAGCAGCTGCTCTCAGCATTCCTGGATGCTGGAGCAGGAATGGGGCAGCATCTGTGGGCAAACAGCTCTTCCCAGATCAGTTTAGCTGGGCTAAGCTGACAGGTTTAACCCAAATTCTGTGAAAAGCATGAGGGAACCAAGTATCCATAGTATCTGGGGAACACTGGGAACAGTGGGAAAAGTGTTAGTTTGGCATCAGAGGGATTTTGATGCTCGAGTTTGTGGCGAGTGCAGGAGATTGGGTTTGAGTTGTGTCCTGGGAGATGAAAAGTGCAGATTAAATCAGATATATGATCATGGGAAAGGGGGAAAAAAGCCCTCACAGCCTCTTTTTCAGAAGGGGTCTGCAAGTGCTACAAACCCCCTTAAAATTTTGTATTTAGGGTTATGTAAATAACGAGTTTGTTATACAAACTGTTCGGTCAGCACTTGTCAGGGCAGTCGCTTCCAGCACAGCTTTTGGAGCAGCCACACAAGACCTTCCCCACCACCAAAAAAAAAGCAGAACTTTGGGGTATGAGATAGCCTCAACTCTCACAGCCACCAAAAATATCCAAACTCACCTTTTAAGGACTTAATCCCCCTCCTCCACTCCTTCTCTTCTATTTTAATCATTATTTCAGCACTGTTCTGGCTCTGAGATTCTTTCATCTCTTCTGTTGTCCCAGACCTTCCTGATGCTCTTATTAGATAGGGTAGCCAGGCTCTGCCTGATGCATTCCTATCCAAGAAACCCATGGAGATCCCTCCCCAGATTCCCTTTGGGACCCTGTGGCTCCAAGGTCATGCAAGCCCCACACACTCCCACTGCATAAAACCAGCGGAAGGGGCAGAGGGATCAGGTCTTTCTTTCTTTCTTTCTTTTTTTTTTTTTTTTTTTTTTTTTTAATTTTATTTATTTTTTTTTATTTTTATTTTTTTATTATTTTTATTTTATTTTTTCTGTGGACAAAATAATAATAAAAAAATTCCTAGTTGATACCCATAGCACATAAGCAGTAGCATTTATCATCAGTCTGTGGTTTAATGAAATACAGCAGTAATTCCCAGTTCTCTCCAGGAAACATCTCTGTTTGGTTTCCACGGGAGCGGCCGAGGCCCCTGGAGACATCCCACATTGAAAGACTTTAAGAAAATTCACAAGTGTCTTTATAAAATGTTAACTTTG